AAGGAAGGTTTGGTGCAGAAATTTGAAAGGTCAGGACCTTCAAGAGCATTTAAAGCAAACCGAGTTGGCATGGAGCAGCACAGTGTGCTTGAGGTACTGGGGCCTGTGAAGGAGCTGAGGCTGGAGCAGAGACTCGCCAGTTAATAAGAACTCTAGCTGCTCTTCTCAGCTTGATTTCCAGAACCCACATACATGGTGGCTCACTCTGTATAACCACAGTCCCAGGGAATCGAGGGGTCTCCACATACATAGTGGCTCACTCTGTGTAACCGCAGTCCCAGGGAATCGAGGGGTCTCCTCTGGCCTTGCAGTTCCTGTACACATGTGACACACAGACTGACATGCAGGCAAGCACTCACACACATTTAAAAAAGCAAAAACCAAAACTTTGTTAAAATCTCAAAGTGTGAATAAAGTAGTTTACCAGTCATTTTGTTCCTAATCAATAGTGTTCAAATGTGTGGCTTAGTCAGAGCTTTGTGGGGGGGACGGGTGGGGGGAGATTGTATATGTATTTTTTCCAATAAGAAACACACTTTCTGAAGAGATCAAAGTGTTTTTCTGCTCAGATTATTCCTGTCTCCTTGCTCGTCTCCTATCCTCTGCCGCACAGTTTAATAGACGTATCTTCAGAAGCCTAAGAGTCAGGAAATACTAAGGCATACATCGAATGTACTTTAAATAGGTTGTTTTGCAAAGCCCAAATGTAGTATTAGTTAACTGAATTGTACAGTTATGCACACACACGGATAGTAATTAGTGTTTTAGTTGATCACTGTAAGACAGGTCAGGTAAGGAGAGTAATACTTTGATGGCCGTTGTCCATCAGTGGGGATGTAAGTGATGGCTGAAGCAAGCACAAGTCTATTCTGCCTTTCACACTATTTCCTTATACAGTGGTCCAAACAAGTTGAAGACTATACCCAAGTACATAAATTGTAGTTAAGACTGTGTATTATCCATCAGCGAGCCATTAGCAACTGGGTGAGATGCAGCCAGCCTCAGCACTGGGAGAGGTGCCTCAGCAGCACCGCTGATGTCACTCAGTGCTCTAGCAAGTGGGATTTGTTTTGTTGTTTTTGTTGTTGTTATTAACCATTTTTGCCAGTTTTACCGGTTTGTAACTGATAACCATTTTCCTTAATTGCTGTAATATATGAACTATGTCCAAATAATAGGAACATATCCTTTGTTATTCTGAAAAGGTTGCACTAATAAGATTGACCAGATATGCAAATTTCCATTAATATGTTAAGCACTGCGTTTTCTTCAAAGCCTTCCCTCTAACACCTCGTTATTTTCAGGGCCTGGTACTCAGATTCCACTGTCAGATTCCTCTAGGAACTTGTGTTTACAGTTACTTGTCTCGTGTCCTGACTGTCACATTCTCATTGTTGAAAGGCTGGCTAGTAGAGACTCTTCCTGGTATTCCTGCTCTTGCCCAACACTGATCGAAATGTCAACACCTACACTGTATGTGATTTTTCTTAGCACAGTTGGCTGAGTTCCTTCTCAGTGTTGTTATAAATGACTCAGAGCTTGTCCTTACAGCCGTCTCTTTGACCCCAATCAGCCCTGTTCTGGGGGATGCAGCCAGGGTTGTCTTTACACTGATGGAAGGTCCCTGGTTTAACAAACCACATAGCTAGCAGCAGCTCCTAAGAGCAAGTGGTGCGCAGGTTTCCGATTGTACATGATAGTGGCTCAGCACAGTCCAGACAATTCTCTTCTGCTTTCAGCAAGTCTGCACAGGGAGAGTTGACCCGGTAAGGTGGGCGAACTACAGGATGGGTGAGAGAGAACAAGTGGGCACGTCTCACACCGCCTGATTCCCAGCAGACTTACTTTTCCAGGCCATGTGTGTCCCACAGAAAACACTCCCACTCTAAAAGGTGACCGGCACGATTTCTGTGCTAAAGCCCAGTCATTACTTACAAGTTTAGTTTTCTTTGTAAAAATAATCTAAAGCTGAATTTTTAATCTAAAATTTTTTGACAATTTCTTATGAATTTGCATCATTGCCATCCCTCCATCCCTCTCCAGCTCCTCCCGTGTACTCCCACATCCTCCCAAACTCATGATCTCTTTATTATTATTATTGGCACACACAGATACATATGTGTATTTGAGTTCATTTAGTGTTATTTATATGAGCCATATTTTAAGAAAATTAGTTTCTAACCTCAGGCGAGTCACCTTTGAATCCTTTAAATCTAAATACATAATTTAAATATTGTATTATCTCTGGTTTTTTTCCTTCTGCTTTTAATTCTCTTCCTCCTAATAAGCAATCTGTCACCCTCTTTGTAGATGCTGAGGACGTGCTCACTCCCAGATCTTTCCAAGCTGTTCAGAACCCTGATGGACGTTCCCACTGTAGGAGATGTTCATCAGGACAGTCTGGAGATAGAGGAGCTTGAAGATGAGCTCAGTAAAGATTCCGAAGACACGTGAGTACAAAGCCATTAACAAATGAGATTGCCGCTGTGATGTCTGAGCCTTTGAAGAGTCCAGAGAGCATGGCCTACAGCTGGCTTCTCATCACCCTTCAAGTTCTTACAAGTTGGTCAAACACAGTCGGCCTCTTGATTCTGGATATCTGCTTCTAAATGATTACTACCTCATCTGATGCATATGAAACATTTATATTTGTGTTCACTGTCTTTTTTCCCCATTGATGTCCATCTAGTACACTGATGCGACTAGAGTAAGAGATTACTAAGTAGTGATTAAATTAATTTTCACAGGGTAATGACTACAGTCTCCATTATACTAGGAATGAAGTGGGACGTTGGGAAGTATTAAATGCTCCACATTTTCTCAGGAAAATGCCTGAAAGTTTCATATCTGCCTTGGACATGTTTCATTTTAGGCTGTGTCAGTGGTAAGGTAGAGTAGTTATTTTATTTGTATGATATATGTGGGAGTGGGGGCAGGGTAACCATGAGAGAGAGAGTGTATGTTGTGTGTAACTTCATTGTTTTCACAAAATTCCTATCTTGTGATTCATGTGAATTATAGAACTCAGGAAGGAAGTGTAACAATATTTCTGAAAGTTAAGGGAAATGTTGGCCAAGCCTCTGATAAAAATCATTCTTGACCTCTTCAGTTTTAGCCTTCCAAGCACGTCAGGCAAGTATCACTAACGTGGGGGAGCTAAAAGCTAAGTATCCTGTCATGAAGTGCTAGGAAAAGTGTCGTGTAGGGTCTAGTGCTGGGGATGCAGGGCTGTAGCTCTGGGGTAGAGGAGCTTAGCTCGGGCGAGGCCCAGTTTGAGGCAGGATCTCTGCACCTGGCATTGGTACTTTGCAAGTTCCTAACAAGCTGTCCGTTCTCATCAGTCCTCATAGAGACCTGTGAGTGGTTGGGAGGGACCCTTTCGTCATGCTTCATTGTGCTCACTGGTGGACACAATGTTTAGCACCTGGGTGGTTGCAAATTGCTAGGTAATGGATTTTGTGGAGGGTTTTTCCCAAATAGAACTAAAATGAACAGTTTTTAACTGAGCCAGCTGTAAACGAATTCTTCCTAAAGTACTATTCCAGATTTACTAGTTGTTTGTCATTGAAAACTGATTTTGGTTCATGTATTTATCAAGATTTTATAATGGGAAAGCAAACTAAAAACTAAATTTGGGACCAGATTTCAGATTATCTGACACAGGTTTTTGAATGCTGATTTCATAAAATATGAAATCTTCTCAGGTTTTCCTTAGGGTGGCAGTCAGGCCAATCTCACTCACTGACTCCAACATGCCTTGGCCAGTATTTACTCATGCTCACAGGTGGGGTTGCTAGTCAATAGTCAGGTCCACAAAGTCCAATGGCTAGTCAGTGTACTAAGTACCAAATAAAGGTACTTCTGTGAAAATGATTGTTTTCTCTTTCCAGTAATGTAAAATGTCTTCAGGTCCTTACCTAGTGTTTGTATTGGGAGTTGAGTGTAAACTTTTGGGGAGGTCATCATGAGCATCCCTAACTTAAATTGCATTTCTAGTAGATGAGACCTGTGTTTAGGATCCCTCAGCAGACGCCTTCACACATCCAGACTCTGACAGAACTCTGTCCTCAGAGAGCAGCCTTGAGTATGCTTCTGAGTTACTGTACAAGAGCTCAAGGTTTGTCTGCTGCGCATTGCTGAGGCTTTGAGCCATGGCATACTTTGATTTACACTTTTCATGTCTCTACCATGAGCTTCATTTGGATAAAATTTAAAAATTGGTTGAAACTGCTTAGTAAACTAATGTGCTATATAAACATAAGGTCTTACTATATGAATTAATTTTTTTCTACATTTTAAATCTCATAAAGATAGGAATTTTATGCTTTGAAGAGAAAATCCTCCTGTTAGGATCATGGTAGTTGATTTATTCTTGGGAAAATCTACTTACATGTTTAGAAATGTTTCCAAGAATATGCACAGAAGTTTCTGTTGGCTATTATATTCACTTTATATAGACACTATACAAGACCTTGACTCTTATTGCTACAAGTGCAAATGCATTCACATGGAAATCTTTGCATATAGTAAGTGCACAGCTAGTAGCCATATGAAGATTGCGATGAACTTTCAAAATTATCTGTTTTTTCAAAATTTCTTTTAAATATTTGAGTATTCACTTTGAGAAAACAAATGATAAACATCTTTGATTTCTTAAATTGTCCAATTATAGCTGGGACACAGAGACACGGAACATCATTTCAAAGTTTAGGCAGTGATTAATGCTAATAGGTACATGATTCTCTTTGGCAAATCAGGACCAATTTTAGCAAATCGTCTTCTAGTTTATGAATTGTAGAAAACCCCTCATGTTCTCTATTTCTCAGTTGTATTCATCCTTATTTCCTTAGTTAACACCGTATAGGCTTATTCAGACTTCTTTTTATCTATGGTTACTACCTTTAAGCGGGAGAGAAGGCACATGCATGTGTTGAATTGAAGTACCATTCCAAAATACGTTCAAGTTTAGGCAGCATTCTCTTTAATCCTTTACGCTCCAGTGTGTTTGAAGAAACTGACACAGATTTACAAGAGCTTCAGGCCTCAATGGAGCAGCTGCTCAGGGAGCAGCCCGGTGATGAGTACAGCGAGGAGGACGAGTTGGCCTTAAAGAGCAGCGAAGTGGAGCGGACAGCAAGAGGGACAGACGCCGCCGACGAGGACGACAACCCCAGCAGCGACAGTGCCCTGAATGAGGAGTGGCACTCAGGTGCATGGTCTTGGCTGTGGGCCTGCTTCTTTCTCTGTGCTCAGACATCTTAAGTAAGAGGTCTTTTTCTGACGTGCAGTGTGGCCATCACCAGCTTAAGCTGGCGTGTGCGCCTGTCTTCTGTCGTGTGTTGACTGCCCGTGTTTCACACAGGGCATAGCAGTTCTTCATTTCTTCCTGTTGTTGCACAGCGACTTGTGAAGCATTTTTACTCTGCTTTTTGTTCTCCATTTCTTGACTTGTTTTCTAGTAAGAAAGACAATAACTTAGTATCTCTGTTCTGCCTGTCTCTTCATGTTATAGTCCATGTTTATCCTTTATACATAGGTTTGGTTGTTTCAGTTCAGAACATAGAAATACGCTTTTTCCATTTGTTTCCAAACTAACATTTAAATAGTGGTGTTTGTGGGAATCTTTCTTTGTAATCTGATTTACTATCTATATCTTTAAAAGAAACAATTCTCAAAGTAACATTCTTGGGTAAGACAGCATTATAAGTGTTTTGATGGGCAGATGCCATAGTGAAGACTGCTTGTGTTGAACGTAGAAGAATACAGGAAGCTATAACTCATTTGTCGTTGATGACAGTCTGGTAGTGTAAGAATGACTTTTAATCACAAAGTGTCTTTAGATAACAGTGACGGTGAGACTGCTAGTGAATGTGAATATGACAGCGTCTTCAACCACTTAGAGGAGCTGAGACTTCACCTGGAGCAGGAAATGGGCTTTGACAAGTTATTTGAGGTGTATGAGAAAGTAAAGGTATGTCAATTTGATTACATCATGTCTCCCTCTCTCCCTCCTACTTGTCCTGTATAAGCCCCTCCCAAATGCACGGCCTGTTCTTTAACCATTGCTATTATATATGCGTATACACAGATGTATCGTGTAGAGCTAGGCTGCCCATGATAATTTGTTCACTGCATCTTAACCAGTTTTAACTTTCTGTGATGACCTCATGCTATTGTAAAGATAAACTTCTTTGTTGAAGGGAGAGATCTACACCTAACGTTGGGTATAATGGTATGATGTAGTTAGGAATCACGCTGGTTTAGGAAAGTAGCAGTAGTGGGTTTTCTTCTAAAATCACTGACCTCACCAGCTGCATAGAGTGGCTAGGCTTATAGTACCAGGCATGATCCCCCTTCTGGTGAAGACGCCTTGAGTCTAATTACACGGCTTCTGGTTGCCATCGAGATGTAAGTGCCACTATTGTCCATTAGGGAGAGCTTGCTGTGCTAGGCACCATTATGGTTCACAGGCTATCGTTGATTGCTTCTCTTCTGTAGCAGCTTCCGTATTAACTTACATCTGGTAATTTGGCATAGGCTATTCATGAGGATGAAGATGAAAATATTGAAATTTGTTCAACAATAGTTGAGACTATTTTGGGCAATGAGCATCAGCATCTCTACGCCAAGATTCTGCATTTAGTCATGGCAGATGGAGCCTATCACGAAGGTAAAGTTTTTCTCATGCCTTCATATTTTAAGCAAATGTGAGAAAAAAACAAGATGACAGATGTAAGATAAGGCACTCTCCTCAAATGGGCTTTGAGGCAGTCTGTACTGGACCCTGTCTGATACTGTGAAGTAGCTCTAAAATTTACTCTGCCCTGTCACGAGATTCTATTGCCTTAGAGTCTTTAAGCCACTGTCTTTTAGTTCATAAGTAACATTGGAATGAACTTTTAGTGCTTTATTTACTAATGTGTACATTTTCCTGCGTGTATGTATATGCACCTTTTGTGTACATTGCCCACCAAAGCCAGGTGAGGATATCAGATCCCTAGAACTGGCATTACAGATGGTTGTGAGCCATCATGTTAGTGCTGGAAACTGAACCTGGGCCTCTGCAGTAGCAACCAGTGTTCTTACCCACTGAACCATCTCTCCAACCCTTAAATAAAAAATTTTAAGTTTCCTAATTAAAAATTCAATAGCTGTAGAAATTAAAATAATTCTCATCAATCTATTGAATTTTTGGCAAAGGAAAAAATGTAAAATTCTGAACATGAATTTATTTCTAATATGGTTGTCAAAATTAATATAATTACTTTAAAGATTTAATTCATAGACCAAAATTGAGGATTTTAAATTTTAATTGTTTAATTTTAGCAATATAATTTTTCTTAAAATACATTTATATTGCCTCTTGCTAAAAATAATTAAGATAATTTTTAAAAATACATCCACTTTACAAAATAAAAATAAGTACTAAAAACATTTGAGAAAGCAGCATATTAGATAAACAAGCACAAAACAAGGGATGGGGTAAAAATAGGATAATGTTCAGAAGGTCTTCGTTCTGGAAACTTGGCAGGGAAGCAGGAATCCTGGTTAGTAGAATCAGAGCCCATAGGGCACAACAGAACCCAGGGGTCTGTAGATCTCAGTACAGCTAAGTGTTAACATTAGTTAACTGAGTTAACTTGTTAAGACTTCGGAAATTTCCTTCCGGTGTATTACTATAAAATAGGTATTTTATTTTCTGAAATGATAACAGATGAGTTCATCATTAAGATGAAGGTCTCTACTTTAGCCAGCGTCTGGAATTTACAGATTCTTGATTTCACTGAGCTCGTGCACTTGAGCTATACTTCACTGAAGTGAGGAATAGCTTGTAATTTTGCAACATTTGGATTCCATAGATTATTTTTCATATGTGTAAGCTACCATGACACAAGACTAGAGAATGATTCTATTTTAGTAAATCTGTGGCGAGATCTAGCCAGTTCTATTCTCATTCAGACTGGTCCTTCAGGAAGCCCTCCACAAGTCTTGTTTCAATGGACTCTTCAGTGGATTCGGCAGCAGTATGCTCAGGCTGTAGTGTTCCTTGTCAAGTGTCTGAAGAGCTTTTCTTTTGCTTTGCCCTTTGAGTGGAGAGCTGTAACAATCAGCTGGGCCTCAAGGTAGGATTAGCACAGCTGAGTGGTTGCTAAAGGATGCCTGTCTTATGGGCCTAGTCACCTACAAGGACCAAACACTAGGCTGAGCCGTGTAGCCCTCAAGAAACGTGGTCAGTTTTACTGTAGTGTGCAGTGGGGACGTTCGTGAGACCACGAAGTTCCCTGACCCAGAGCCAGCCTGGAGAGAAAAGGTAAAGCAGTTTCACAGTCAAGCGACTGCCTTTGCAAAGAGCAAAGGACAAGGTAGAATACCCCAGCAACCTTAGCAAACTTCTTATATATCCTATAGCACACTTTAGCTTACTAATGTAGCCACTGAATAAACACATGAAAAATACATTAAGCAAAAGCGAAGATGCTGTGTTAAACATTAGACAATTAAGTGCTAGACGGTGACTGTGTTTAGAATAATGAGAGCAAATGGATCTCAAATCAAGCTGTCCTATATATAAATAGTTGGGTTTTAGATATTATCTAGGAGATAATAGAATCGTGTCATATACATGATGCCTGCACACTTTTATTCTCATTCTAAATGATGAGAAACTAGTAAGGGACATATTAAAAAGAAGAAAGTGAGGTGAAGAGATTGAGGGAAACACGCCACCATCAGCCGGTGGTCTGAGCTTATGTCCACATAGAGCATCTGCACACATGCGTATGCCCACACCACAAGCAAGACTTGAACTTTGTAAAATGATCTTCTAATCTCATTTCTGTTTAATTTCCCTGGAAATTGTCAACTTTCCCCAAACCGATCTCAACCAATAAGGTCTCCTGATATTGTTGCAGTGTAGGTTTTGTGAGCTTTAGTAACTGTCTCCAGTGGTAAAATTAACACTAACTAGTCCATATGAAGCTCTTTCAAAAGTCATAGGTCAAACAGAGGTAGTAATTTTGTAAGTTATTTAGAACTGGTTCTAAGAATTCCTTCACAAGGAGAATTGAATGAATGTAGTGTGGCCAATGGTAGGTTGGCAGAGACTACCACGTCCTCCCATTGATCATCAGCAACTAAGCACGTGATTTCTTTCAATCTACCTTCCCTTCTCATCCATTTTAGATGGAATGTTATGTTGTGTTTATGTAATGAAATTCTATACAGCTGTTCAAATGAATGAACCAAATCTTTAGCTATGAATATGCATATGCCCACAAATCTAAGTTAAATAAGTCACGTGTGATTTATATAACATCTAAAACAAGCTTATATACTTCTGCATATGTTTAATAGCAGTGAAAAAGTATAAGCAACAAGAATATACATTAATTTGGGTGTGCTGAAAAATGTCCCTAGAAAAGAAGGCCACTGAAGTGGGAAAGTATACAGCCTGTAATACACTCTTACTTAAATATCAAAACCAGTAGGACTAAAAGTTAACGTTGTTAATGCTAGGTAGGCATATGTGTGTTCATTGCTTTCCTGACTCTCTGAAGCACTTTATAGCTGTAAAAGCGAATAAGTTATAATAGAGAGTGGTGTGTGACATTGGAAGCAATGAAAATATATTCAAGTTGCATGAAGTACTGGTGGGAGGTAGGCTGGGGGTGGTCCTTAAGGAGACAACATCGAAACTGGATTTTCAGAGATGAATGGCAGTTTATCTTGGATCAGTATGCACATCCTGTATAAAGGGATGCAGAACATTGCAGCAGGGACAGTGAGTGATGGCCAGTAACTAACACGGGGAATCTTTAAAGCATTTCCGCGTTTGCTGATCCTGGAGAGCATTACAGACATCGTCAGAAGCGAGGGCGTGGCAGACAGTGGGGTCCACAGGGTGTAATGTTTGACATGATGCCTTGGATTTACCGGGGTCTAAAGAGGGCTGTTTGGCAGTGTTAGGCAAATCAGTGTGCTTATTAACTCATTCAACAATGTTTTTTTAAGAATAGACATTCTTGTGGTTTTACATAAGAATAGTTTACTTCATTGTTCCGTCCTCATAAGATGGAATAGTGTGCAGACGTTGACTCTGACGTGGATTTTACTGTGAGGTTTTCACCATGAGAAACAGTGAAAGCTTTGTAGTGGTGCCTGGCACCCCCACAGAGACTGCAGCGAGCATTTCCAGTCCTGCTGCTTCTTACCAAGCGCACTTCTCTATCCTCCTGTCTAGTCTGTGTCTTATGTGGGGCGCTCACTTCACAATTCTGCATCTTAGTCTGATTGTCTTAGAGATATTTGTGCTTCAGAAGGCAATCTGAGGATTTATGCTTACTTATTTGTAACACTGGTTGTCTTTGATAATTTTTACTTACCTTTATTCTTTGTAATACTGCCTGGATGTCAGACAGTGAATATGCACTATTATAATAAAATTACATTTAAGACTGCATTAATAATCTTTAGAGAGGAAATGCTTTTTAAAAAGCAAGATACTGCTTGAATTATAATAAAGTGAATTAATTTTTTTCTTTTTTTCTACAGATAATGATGAATAATCCTCAGGACATCCTTTAATATTCAACTATATGAAAACATTTGAACTTGGCTCATAATACAAGCTTCCTGGGCAATAAAGATTATTTATGAGAAATGCCAGATTTAAGATAGGCATGCTTATTGCATGAAAAATTTGAGAAGTGTGTTTTTTCTTACATTTTATCTATTTTATTTTGTTTATTGGATTCTATAGCTGACTCATAGGTTCCTATAGAATGTATATGTCTTTAACTCAGTCCACCAAAGCTTTGACTCAGAACTGGAATTAATAGTGTTAAAATTCACCACAAAAGAAGGAACTAATTTTAGCAACAGTCTTTCTGTGGAAGGAGTTGCCTGTATCATAAGAGGCCTACCACTAGGGTTTCATTTCAGTTTTAGCATCACTTTTTTTCCGTCTAGGATTTTTCATCCTGGCTAGCAGGTTTGCATTAAATAATTCTTGTCAAGGGCTCTATTCAAATCTCTACATTTGGAAGATGAAATTTTAACCTTGAAGTTTGTATTCTCAAGTCATTTTTCAACCAAATACTGAATCTCCTGAGCTAGCCCGGTGGAAACAGACTGTGGAAATAATCCTAAAAATCATTGAAAGATTTCATTATGAAGGAATAGCGAAGCTGTATTTCCTGACACTTAAAAGTTCTTTAATTTCTTCTGTTTCTCTTTAAGGACCAGAAATAGTGTGTCTAAAAATCAGGCTATAAATTTAAACGTGGACCTAGAAAATAGCATAAAATCGTCCTTTTGGTTTTTAACCCCTCTCATATATGTGCCTCAGTGTCACCTGCTAAAAAGGAGGGAGCCTTTGTTTTCAGCACCCTGACAGTTTGGTAACTAGTATGGGGAATGTTTGCCTGTCCTGTTCAGAACGAGGATGGAACCAGGTCATCACAATGATGGTCACATGGTTTCAGTTATGTGAAACTACATATGGGAACAGTTATAGTTTCAGAATATGCCAAGTATACATGGCTTCATTGTCTACAGTCCGAATGTTCCTAATAAGACCAGAAATGTGTGCTTCTTAGGGTACCAGTCAACCTGATGGGCATAATCTGTCATCTGAAATGTGGATTCTTATTACTATTAGTACTGTATTGACTTTATTATGTATATTATTTCTAACATCCAGAACTAAATAGTTGATTTTATATTTTATTTTGTACTATTAAATTTGTATTATGTACCTGAAGCGTACAATCAGTTGTCTTTATTAGCACTGTTCTCAGTATCTGCACCGTCTTCAGGTAGACAGACAATGACAGGAGCACGTGCAGAGGAAGACGTTGCGTCTGGAGACTGATGCCAGGCAGTCGGTGAGGCTGATCTCAGACTTTCAAGCAACCCTCGTTTGAAAGTTACCGTAATCTGTAAGAGCCCTTGGCAACCTAAGGACCTCCTAAGGCCACAGTTTCTCCTCACTACCATCCTGGGAACCGAACTTTTATCAAAACATCTTCAACCCAGAGCATATACTTAGAAGACATGTGCCAGAAAGCAATGGTCTGACTCCTGTCTGGGATGAAAGGGCAGGAAGCAGGTCTACCTTTAACAGCACCACCAGGCAAAGTATTGAGCAGATGGTTTTCTAACAGTGAGGAACAGTCAGTGATACTAATGCTCCAGCCGAGATGGGCTGACCACAGTGGGTGTTGTGGCTCCTCAGCCTTACAGGAGCCAGCAGGGTGGGGATGGAAAGGTTGGAGCCAAGCAAAACCAGGGGTTGCCATCATTTGCTAAAATACAATTTACTATATTATAAACAAACAACTCAGTAACTTAAGCTCTGCCTTGATACAGAGGTGAATTCAAACTATCAGAAAGGAAATTATTTTTCTAAATAACAGAAATTACTCTATTGTAAACAAAATTGGAGAATCCAAGGGTTGGTTATTTAATGATATCAGTAGTACTGATTGATAAATCTGTAGCTAGACTAACAGGTACTTAAGACATAATTAGAAATATCTGGATGAGGATGATTCACTGTATCTTGACAGTCACCTAATGGATTATAAGGAAATATGAACAGTTCATGCCAAAATAATTAAAACTGCCTTTTTTTGGAGCAAAACTTATCTGCGCTAGGTTGCCATAACAGACATAAGAGTGACTTCAACTACAGAATCCATTTTCTCAGTGTCATAGGTGCTACAGGTCCAAAGTCATGATTTCTAGTGTGGCTTCTCGTTGGTTGCAGATAGGATTTCCTCATGAGGCGACAGTGGAGGTGAGCTCTTTGTGTGACTAATCCTATAGCATCCAGGCCCATTCTTATGACCTCACTTAACCTTGCCTGACAGTCCATGTCCACTCACATTTCTTGGTAATTAGGACTTCAACAAGAATTTATTTGGTTGCATCGGGAAGTGGGGGGATCTCAAATATTTAATCCACAGAGTTATCTAAGCTCACAGGAAGTCTCTATCTGATTACTCAGAGTCTAATATCTAATTGTGAAAGTGAAATTTAGTTTAAAGCCTACCACAAATGAGCCATTGGGTCCAGATGGATTCAGCGATAAGTTCTATCAAGCACTTCTGGAAGAAACAGTACCAGTTCTACACAAGCTGTTCTAAAATACTGGAATGCAGGGGAAATTGTCCCTCTTCAGAGAGCACAACCTGTTCCCAAAGTGAGAGGGGGGAAAACGGCTGGAGGGAGAATGAGCTAAGGAATCCTATTTAGTGAGCAATGATGAAAAAGTTACAAGTTAGCAAATCTAGCTCAACAACAAATCAGAAAGCAATGAATGGTAACCAAGTGGACCATATACTAGGAATACAGGATTAAAGTAACATGTGAATAGCAATGTAAATCGTTATATCATCAGACTAAGAAAAGCACCTATGAGAGAACTGGGCATCCATTCCAAACAGTTTCTGCAGACAGGGAGCAGAAAGGATAAAGGCCCCCAGGGAGTGGTGGACTTAAAGTTTCCTTCCTAAAGGAAATAAGAACATGGATTTCTGCTTGCTGCTTTTTCCAGTGTCCTGGAGATAACACCAAGGTAATGAACAGTAATCAGGACACCTCAGATTATAAAGAAAGGAAAATGTTCACAGATGACATGGAAGGCAGGACATACAAAAAAGTCTTAAGATATCTAAATAGTGGCTACAAAAACTAGAGAGAGCTAAGCACATTCTGGGGATGTGGCTCAGTTGGCAGAGTGCTGGCCTGGCATGCACAAAATTCAGGAACCAAATAAAAGCTGGGTCTGTTAGTCCTGATGCATAGGAAGTGGAGGTAGGAGAATCCACAGTGCAAGCTCATCCGCCATATAGCAAGTTTGGGGCCAGACTGGGCTCTGAAGTCCTGTCTCAAAAGAAAAATGAAGATACTATTTATAATAGCATCAATTGTGAAATTCTTGTCATATTTGACAAATTATCAGTATATATGTGTAAATATATATACATATATATATACAGTATGCACACTACATTGACAGTTACAAACATTGCTCAGAGAAATCAATACAAAGTAAACTGATTAAAAGTACAAACTACAAAAGAAAATTTGACTTCGCTAAAATAACATCAATACTTTTCCAAAGATTCTGTCCCAAAAATATAAAGTCCAGAATAGGCTAGATGTTTGCAAAGCATGTATCTGACAAAGATGCCATGTAGAATGAGGAAAGAAAATATAACAGTAAGATGGCCAGTTTGAAAATGGGAAAAAGAAGTCATGCATGTTCAAAGATGAGGATAAACTCACGGAAAGGTCTATAGTAGTTCAACATTATAGTTAGTTGGAACCTAGCTCCTGTAAAGGTCCACTTGCTGAAGACTTGTTGCCTAGCTTGAGATACTTCTTGCAGATGTGGGAGCCTTTAGGAGATTGGACCTAGAAGAAGGAAGCTTGGTTATTGATGGCATGTCCTTGAAAGGGCTACTGAATTCTGTCTTCTAATATACCTGCCAGCTGTAAAGACTGCAAGAGCCCCCTCAATAGACCCAGAAACTGAATAATGCTGGACAGTTTAATATACAGACTATTTTTCTCCTTTTGTGTTTATGATAATAAAATTTAACTCATAAAAGTTTTTAATTACTTTCTCATTGCTGTGATAAAATACCCCAGCAAAAGCAACTTAACAGACAAAACGGTCTCTTTTGGCTTACAGTTTGAGAGGGTCCCAGTCTATTACGGCAGTGAAGGCATGGTGGCAGGAAGCTGGCTGGTCACATTGCACATACACTCTGGATGCCACACACACACCGGACTGAGTGCAGGTATATCCTCAAGGCCCACCCCTCATGACTCACCACAGCAAGCCCACCTCCTCAAGTTTCCACAGCCTTCCTTCCCGGACAGCTCCACTGACTGAGGATGTGATCAAACACATGAGCCTATGGTGGCCGTCTCTCATTCAAAACACAGCAATAAATTAGCCACAGTAAGAGATTAACAGGAACGTCACACTCCAGTGATTAGTTATGAGAATGTGCTCTCCCCATGGATGGTGCTGCACTCAGCCTTGCAGTGTGGTGAAGTGTGTGAAGGAACACTGCGACCGGGCATTAGGCTGCCACTGGCTTTTGTAACAATGTATCTGAAGGCAGACCTCTGCTTCTGGGATCCTGGACCATGGAGCCTGGATGTCAGTGGTTACATATTAGCAGCAGATAATGGTTGAGGGTCCTTAATAGCTGAAGTTTTGCCAAATGTTTTGGAAAGAACACTAAGGAAGCAACCTGCTCATGACTTGGAAAAATATCACTTCAATGTCTGTACTGCTTCTGGGATCACACAGGTGGTCAATGCCACATTCCCCCCACTGATCCGTGTATCAGAATTCTGCCCTTTAATGTCTGGACAGTTCAAAACACTTGCGAAACTTTTAGTAGTGTTCACACTGAAGATTCTGCTTCCGAGTCTCCATTCTCTTCCTCCGGAGATGCACAAGTTCTTCCAGTTCCTCGCTTGCTGCCTCTTGATGGCCTTCACCGTGCCCTCCCTTCCTCTTCATCCATAATGTGGGCAAATCCTCCACCAACGTATCCTATAGGGATGCTTTTTCTAGCTTCCATTGCTTCGCAGGAAATCCTTTAAAACCATTCCCTAAGTCTTTCTAGCAGACATTTGCAGTTTCCGGCTTCTGTCCTTCCTTTACAGCATCGGTGCATGTTATGCACCAGCAGTAGTCAACACGACATTCTGTCTGCAGGCTGCAGCAGATGCTGATCTGTGACCAGATACCAGGTAGCTGTATGTGGTCTTTTGTTCTCTTTTTTTATTTATTATTATTTATTTTTTTATTTTTATTTTTTTTTATGGAGAAAAGGAAAAAAAAGTTTCCCCCTCCTCCCAGCCTCCCATTTCCCTACCCCTCCTCCCACCTTTCTCCTCCTCCCCCCACTCCTCTCCCCCTCCCTCTTCAGTACAAAGAGCAGTCAGTGTTCCCTGCCCTGTGGAAAGTCCAAGGTCCTCCCCCCTCCGTCCATGTCTAGGAAGGTGAACATCCAAACTGGCTAGGCTCCCGCAAAGCCAGAACATGAAGTAGGATCAAAACCCCTTGCCATTGTTCTTGGCTTCTCATCAGCCCTCATTGTTCGCCATGTTCAGAGAGTCCGGTTTTATCCCATGCTTTTTCAGTCATAGTCCAGCTGGCTGTATGTGGTCTTGATCAAGGTTCTGAAGCAATGGGGTGGCATTTGGAAGTAAAAATACAAAACTTCCACTTGCTCCCTCCTATACACTGAACCCAGTCCAGCCAACCTGAACCAAGATAAGAGAGCACCAAGAGGGAACCGAGAACTACACAGCTCAGCGCCATGCGGGTGTGCCAGAACTCACTCCAAGAGATTAGTTAGTTCTGTTGGCAGGTTGATTAAGAAAAGCTGCTAGCTGCTTGCTTTTGCTTTTTTTTTTCCTAGTGGGCAATTGTCTTTAGTTTTAATTGCTGTAATAAAATACCTAACAAAAGCAACTTAAAGGCAAAAGGGTTTGTTTGGCTCATAGTTCCAGAGGTGAAGATACTGTCCATAAGGGCAGAAAGGCATGACGGGAGCTTGCAGTCAGCCCAATCACAGTGCATTAGCAGTCTGGAACCACAGAACAGTAGGTAGAGGCAGGCTATACATCCTGAAATACCACTCCCAGTGACATGCACCCTCCAGAAAGGTTCCAACTCCAAATGTTCTAGACATAACCTTTCCGAACAGTACCACC